AGTATCTTTGAGCAGAGGAAGCTTACTGTAGCATTAAGAGCACTAGACACGGGAGAATTGATTTGAGTCTCCCCTTTGCTATGGAATTCCCTTTGTGACTTTAAGCAGGTCACACTATGAAATTATTTCATCAAATCTAAAATAAGGATGATGATTATAGTTGCATTGCATATTTAATTGGAGAAACAAATGAGAATCTGTACTTCTAGCATCATAAGCTGCTATTTTTGTATCATTATTTATGGATTCCTTGAGAATTAATTTAAGTAAACTCCCATTAAGCAGAGAATACCTTTGTCCTAAAATAATTATATGTCTAGTTGCAGAACCACTTTGATCTTAAGGGTAATATCCTGGTAGTTGTTACAATATTTGTGAAAACCATTGTATGGGAGTTAACAGTAGCATAGCTATCTGGCACCTTCACCTACATGACTAAGAACCAGGAAAAGCACAATGATCCTGAGAACAGCCAAAACACATGTGACTGAGTTCATGTACTAAAACTCATGCATTTTACCCAGAAATAGGCCATTTAAATATTCTCTTGAGCTTTTTCCACCGTTCTTCACAGACCTGACAAGCTTGATTGATTGTCTATTTTACAAGCTTATATTAAATTAGAAGGGGAAAAGGGCATACTGAACTTATGGGAAATTAAGAAGTAGTGCTGTAGAAGACAGAAAACACAAAATGTAAATACAAAAAATTTAAAAGCAAAGCATTCCTAGGAAACATTTTGTAGCCACAAACAGTTTTACATACCTCAGTTGGATCTGAAGGGATCTTTGTCTTTTAGTACAGTAATTGCTGTTGATAATGAAGACCTTGAGTCATCAGTAAAATGGTAAGGAATATTTAGTATGTTCAGTATAAGGGACAGGGCAGAGCCTACCCAGAATTTTGAAGACCTAGGTTCCAATTCTACCTTTGACACATCTTGGCTTTCTGACTTAGGACAAATAACTTATCCTTTAGTGCACGATACAAGTGTCTTTAAGTGACAGAAGAGTTGCCTGTCTGTATTGTTTCCCTTGGGGAACTCCATGTACTAACAAAATCACAGGCTTACACCCTAAGTGAAATAAAGGATAGGAGTGTGTGTGTAATAATTAGAGAGACAGTTAAGAATGCCTTTAAGAGGAAAAAAGTTGTGTTCTTAGCCATCTAGTACAGTTTACTTATTGTCTGAGTATTCTGGTTATCCATAGTTTTAATGTACTAGGTAAACAGAATATAGGTGTAGGCTATAAGGATGAAAGAAACTTCCTTTTTAAATTTTGGATGTCTGTTTTGTCAAGGCATTTAATGTTCAATTTAGTCTTTAAGTTGTACTGTATCTCATTCAATGGCTAGTGCAAATAGTTACTAAATAAGTAGCTATGTGACCCTAGACAAGTCACTAAACCTTTTACAATCTTTACAGAGTTATTGAGGAAAATGCTTTGTAAGCCACAAAGCATTTTATGTATTATAGCATCTAGATGTGACCTATTTTATGTTAGAAGTTTTTGTACTACTATGAAAGAATACGTGCCTCTTTCATGAACAAGATCTGTAAAGCAGAAGTAATGTTAAGGGGAATAAAATACTCTTTCTTTTCCCTTTAATTAGGCAGTGGGGTTAAGTGACTTGCCTAGGGTCACACAGCTAGTAAGTGCCAAGTGTCTGAGACTGAATTTGAACTCAGGTCCTCCTGAATCCAGGGCCGGTGCTCTATCACTGCTCCACCTAGCTGCCCTAGAATAGAATACTCTTAAAAAGAATTAACTTTGATTTCCTTGGATTCTGCACCTAAGATAGATTGTTATTATTCATCTGTTAGCAGTACTTTAAAAGTCTCATATCAGCTGTTTGCCATAATAGTAAATTTTTAATGCTAGCCAGAACTCTGATATGATTCCATATAGGTAAATTTAGATCCATAGTATCTGCTTTACTGTCTAAATTTATTCTCTGAGGTTTGCAAACCAAAGAGAGAGAGCATAAAATTTCTTCTGGTACACAAAGTTAAATTTTAAACTAACTTTTCTAGAAATTAAATAACAGAGTATAAATGTAAACTGTCAAGCTGTAGCTTCATGATAGTTTAAACACTAAGAGTATTAACAATTCTCCACCTATAAAAATAATTCAGGCATCTATGAAGCATCTGCTGTGTGACCAAGATGGTCTCCTTCTTTATTGAATTCAGTGCCAGGCTCCGTCATTCTACCCTAAATCCCGAGAGGGAGAGAGAGTCAGATGGGGGGGGGGGTAGTTGTTCTCGTGCTTCTAATCCTAAATTGTCTCCTCTTTTCTCTCTCTACCAAGTGTTCTTAACCTGGGGTCCATAACCCCTTTAATGTGTCTAGAGGTACATTTCAGGGGGCTCAGAAACTTGTATAGGAAAAAAAAATGTACATCTTTATTTTCACTAAGCTTTAACTGAAATTTAGCATGTCTTTTCAAGTATAAAATGTATGCAGCAAACATTATTTTGAGAAGTCAATTCAATAAGCATTTGTTAAATTCTATGTGCCAACACTATTATAAGCACTAAGGGATCCATAGGCTTCACCAGACTGCCAAAAGAGTCCATGACACAACCCCCACTCTCTGTGATTTAACTTGATGAGTTCACTTAGCATCTTTATGCATATAATTCTCAGATCTCTATTTCTAGATGTATAATCTATCTCCTAAACTCCAGTTCTGCCTCACCAACTGCCTTTTGGACTTCTCAAATTTAATATCTCATAGCCATTTCAAATTTAGCACATCCAAAATAGAACTCATTATCTTTCTTCCCAAACTTTCCTCACTTGAAAACTCCACTGTTATTATCATCTAGACCAATTGAAATAGATCCCTGCTGCTGCATACTGACTTAGAATACCACAAATTAATGTTAAGATGTATTGTATTTTTTTCCATTTTGTTAAACATTTTCCAGTAACATTTTAATCTTATTATAGTAGGGGTAGAGTGAGGAATTTTGGGGTCATGAATTTGATGCCACTGATCTACTCTAGACAGCCATCCTCCCAGTCACAGTTTGAGTGTCATACTCAGTTTCTCTCTCTCACCCCACGTATCCAGTATGTTGCCAAATCTGGTCATTTCTATCTTCATAAAATCTCTCATAGTTCCCTTCTCTCCACATACACAGCTACTATCCTTGTGTCGGTTTCATCACCTCTTACCTGGACTATTGCAAGATGTTCCTAATTGCTCTTCATGCCTCAAGTCTCTCCCCACTCCAATCCATCTTCCACTCAGTTACCAAAATCATTTTCAAGCTCAAGTCTGATCACATCACTTCTTTCCCGTCCTCGCCATAAACTTTAATGGTTCCCTGTTGACTCTAAAAATGGATAGAAAGTCCTCTGTTTGGCATTTGAAGCCTTTCATAATCTTGCCCATTCTTAATTTTCCATACTTCTTACACTCTGCTGCCTTTCATACACTCCAGTATCCAGCTATACTGGCCTACTTAATCTACTTTGTGCACAACATTCCATCTCCCAGTTACATGTTTTTGCACTGAGTTTCCCTTATGCCTGAAATGCTCTCTCTCCTCACCTATGGCCTGGGACATATCAAGACTCAGCTCAAATCCCAACTTCTACAGGAAGCTTTTCCTAGTTCCCTTTTCTCATCACCTTCCATCCATACTATATTGACTTGAATATACATTTTCTTAATCTTTCTTCCATTGGAATGTTGAATTTTTTGAGGAAAAGAACAGTGATTTTACTTTTGTATCCCCAGTATAGCACATGCTTATTGACTGAGAGAGGCTGTGTGTGGTGAACTTAAGAATAATACAGAACCTTAGTTCAGATATTGCCCCTGCTGGCCCTTGATAGGTATGTGATTGTGGTCAAGTCAGTTAATTGCTCTGGACTTTTGGCAACAACATATGACTTAATTTGTGTGTCATAGAATCTATGTCTTACCCTAGGGAGTTCCCATAGTGATAAAAAATTATAGAAACTTGAAGTATTGGCATTTTTTGGTGGGTAGTTAGGACTCGTTTTATGGTAAATAGTAATAAGGGAATTAAAGATTGCTACTTAGTGACAGAACAGAAGAGTTATGGCAGACTCACTTCTGCTCTTTACTTTTATTGGAATTGTACAGTCCTATTTCTTGCCTGGAATTCAGTTTAACAACATAATAGTACTCATACTATGCACTTCCTACCTAAGCTGAAAGTGTCATGCATACAAAACTATTAGTTGTAATGTTATTAGAGTAGAATTTTAACTAAATATTAGATATTGGAGACTTTGTTGTAAAATTATTAAATAGCACTTGTCAGATAATTTTTTAAGGTGATGTTATTTCACTAAAGGCCTGCTTTACCTCATTATAGTTTGGAATTTTGCCTGGGTTCACTGGGTCAATAAAATGTGTTCAGGTCCTCATATCAAGAAAGTCTTTAGACTAATTATCTTGTTATCTGAGCACCAACCTTGAATGAGAGACATACTTCCTCAAAACAGGTAAAATGAAGTTAGATGAAAATACCACTTTTACAGCCCTTTAGAAGCCTTTACAAGCCAAGAAATTTTGGATATTTATTTGTATTGCCTTAAGTCTGAGGCAGACATTCCTCTTGTAATGGAAATGGTGTATACTGACTCTTTCAAGAAATGTCCAATGTTTTTAGGGCTAGAAAAGGTGATTTCACATTCTAAGGGAAAGAACCTTGAGGCAACTTGTATTTTAATTCTTTGTTAGAATAGCTTAATTTTTCATAATTACACATTATAAAATAATTAATGTAGGGGTTTTTTGTTTATTTTGTTTTGTTTACAATTTTACCACTATAAACTTACATACTCCCAATGAGCATTGTGGTATGGAGCTGACCACATATTCTCAAAGGCTTTATCAATAGAACATACTAAGCTTTGACTATTTTAAATCAAAATCAATTGTTAGAATTTATTTCTCAAAATATTATTCTCATGTAAGAGGAAATAACCAATTTTGCTTGTTTTTATCGTTAGGTTCAGGGTAAAGACCCTTCAGTAGAAGTCACTCAGGACCTCATTGATGAGTCAGAAGAAGAACGATTTGAAGAAATGCCTGAAACCAGTCATTTAATTGATCTGCCTGCATGTGAACTCAACAAACTTGAAGAGATTGCTGACTTAGTTACCTCAGTTCTCTCCTCACCTATTCGTAGGGAAAAGTTAGCACTGGCCTTGGAAAATGAAGGTTATATTAAAAAACTACTGCAGCTTTTCCAAGTTTGTGAGAACCTAGAGAACACTGAAGGCTTACACCATTTGTATGAAATAATTAGAGGAATATTATTCCTAAATAAAGCAACTCTATTTGAGGTGATGTTTTCTGATGAGTGTATTATGGATGTCGTGGGATGCCTTGAGTATGATCCTGCTTTGGCTCAGCCAAAAAGGCATAGGGAATTCTTGACCAAAACAGCAAAATTTAAAGAAGTTATACCAATAACAGACTCTGAACTTAGGCAAAAGATCCATCAGACTTACAGGGTACAATACATTCAGGACATCATTTTGCCAACGCCATCTGTTTTTGAAGAGAATTTTCTTTCTACTCTTACATCCTTTATTTTCTTCAACAAAGTTGAGATTGTCAGCATGTTGCAGGTGAGTATGAGAAGATTTTGAGACATTTAGTGGTTACCAAGTTATTATAACTTTTTATATGCTCTTTTACAACTATATAACTTTTGTTACTTGTCACTTGTGATATGATCAGTTCTCAGCAGTTTTGACTGCTTTAAAATCATATCACCTTTTATATTTGTGTGTTTTGATGTAGCCATTTGAAACTTTGGATTCTTAAAACATTCCTTAGTGATAAAAAAAAAACCCTATAAGTATCTAAATAACTTAATAATGTGATGTGATAATTGACAAATGGGGAGAGGGGATGTTACTTATTCTTAATTTAAAAGAAAAATCAGGTTATATAGATGACAAGCAATTGATTTGGTCTTTATATTTAGGGGTTTTAAAAAAGGATATTCACGTAAAATTTATTAATCTGCTGAATCTTAATGACAAAAGTAGGAGTGATTCAGTTATTGCATTATATGTAATGCTTTATGATAATTATTAGCTTGATAATTTACCTTTGGTTTCTTACCTGTCAGGCAGCAAATATTTATTAAACATCTGTTATGTAATTAATGTTGTTTTGTGAGCCACTCTTTGTGATTCTGTCAACCAACCACTATCCCTTATTCCAATCTACCACTATGGCCAAAGGTGTGCTGAAGGCAGCTCATACTGGCTCAAATGATAGCCAGTTGTTAAATTTTCGGTATAAGCATTTACTCCTCAGAAATCAGCAACCACTAGAAATTAGTGCTTAATTTATTGTTTTTGTTGATTGTCTAGCCTTAAGAAAGGGAGGGAGAAAGTTAATGTAGATTAAACCTTGAAAGTGTGTTGTGTGTAATTTTGGTTTTTTTGAGAGTCAGTTGTTGAACATTTATCAGCATACCAATGACTATATGACCCACCTTTGCCAGGTTATCTCATTATCTACAACACATTTTCTCATGACTGCAAAGGTTTTGGTAACCCAGTGAAGAGGAAAACTGCCTTTAGTCCCCTCTTTACTACCCACAGGTCCAACTTTGGGATATTGTTGTGCTAAAAACAGTCTGACTGCTGTCTCATCAGCTGACAGATGGCTAGTTCAGTTTTAGTCCCAGAAAAGCGGAAGTTGAGCCAGGTGAGACTTAGATATGATATAAAGGCTTCCATGTGGTTTTCAAGTTGTCATTTAGTAATTTAGATGTATTTCTGTTTGACTATGCCTAAAAGGAATACATAATAAATCATAAGTATGGTCTTAGGTGTTTTAGAATGATTTCTCCCAACTAATCACATTTCATCTTGATCTGTGAATATTTTGAATACTTGAAAGTCAGGCATTTTGTCATTTTTTAAAATCAGTACATCATCATTATTATTATTATATAACTGAAATACAGCTTCAAAAAATAAGTGGTCTTGAAAACCTTAATATTGTAGGTTTTATGGGATTTATAGATCCATCATCATCTGTTAGTTTAATAATGTAATTTTTAAGCAATTATTTCCTAGGTACATACTTCAATTCTTAAAATGGTATTTAAACCAGGAAATGGTAACCTTAGTCTTTCTGGTGCTACTTAAGTAATGTTACTACTAACTAGTGTTGATATGAGTACCAGTAGGTAAGAAGGAAATCCATTAGCTTGATGCATTGCACAGAGTTCTAACAAATTCTGTGTAAAGTATAAATATTTCAGTGATGTGAGGACATGTTTCATTGGTGAGTACTCTCTCACCTAGGTAGATCATAAGCCTTCTATAACTCAGTAAATGTTCTTCCAGAGTTACTGTGGCTGAATAAATGGGACCAACCAGATGATGAGCTTCTCAACTTAATTTGTTTCATCCTCAGGCAAATAATACAGTCAGTTAATGGGCCTTTCTGCCATATTCTGATATTTCATCAAGGAATGGAGGTGACCCTAGGTTTTCAAAGATAAACTCTGGCACAGCTTAACAAAGTAGAAAATCTTTAAGTCAAGTCCAATAATCTAAATGTAGTAATCATACTGAATTATATGTGTTGGCTGGTTAACTCTTAAGCATAGTGCTTATGAGGCCAAAATGCAACACATTATGGAATAGTCAGCTCTATATACCTCTATCCATTTAATTCTATTCCAATTAAGAAAATAAAAGTTCATAAGATGGAGATGATTCCCATAAAAATTACAAATAAGATCCTCTCCTTTCCAGAGCAAGAAATTAACAGGCATTTAAAGCCAGGTTTCACCATAAATGTGTTAGCTGCAAAGATAAAAATGAAATTGTCCCTACCCTCAATAAGATTACATTATCCTGGAAGCTGTGATTATGCTTCCCTAGAGGGGGACTGGATAGAAACAGTAAGGGTATTTAAGGCAAATCTTTTAATAACTACTAGGAAAAAAATAGTTTTTCTTCTGATGAAGAAATATTTTGCTGCATGATGGATATAGCACATATCTGGAACAACGCATGGCATATAGCAAGTGCTTAATAAATGTTTGTTTTCCTCTGAATGACTGCCACAATGTTCTTGATTATTACTGATTCCATTCAAACAGGTTTTCTTTTTGTCTTTTCTGTCATTCTAGAGAAGCCTGTGATGCCAAATCTAAAAAGCTCTAGATTCCAATGCTTTCATTTATAGAGGGTATCTTAAAGTCTTAGTGTAAAAAATTTTTAATAGTTAACAAGATAGAGATATATTTTCCGTAGAAATTGCAAAGTAAGATCCTCTCCTTTCTGGAACAGGAAATCAGCTTATCATCTCTTTTTTAATTGAGAAGGCTTATTCCTAAAAATGTTGAATTGTTTTAGTTGTGTCTCACTCTTTATGACCTCATATGGGGTTTTCTTGGCAAAGACACTAGAGTGGTTTGCCATTTCCTTCTTGGGCTCATTTTACAGATGAAGAAACTGAGGCAAGTAGGGTTAAGTAACTTAGCCAGGATCACACAGCTAAGTGTCTGAAGCCAGATTTGAGCTCAGGAAGATGAATCTTCCTGACTTCAGGCCTGGTGCTTTATCTTCTATACCCACTGGTTGTCCATCTTTTTCCTAAAACTAAATAACTGTATCTTGTGCTTCCTCCTCTTCCCCTCCCCCTTAAAATAGTACTTGTTAGGTCTGTCCCATCAACTCTGACAAGATATGGAATTTCTCAAGTCTTTGAGGTTGAGTAATTTTAATGAGTCTTTCAGAATGATTTCTCAAAGGATTTTTTTGTGTAAAGGCTTAGAAGGGAGCTGTTGAGGTTATAATTAGGACATATTGGTGGTATGTGTTCTCCCTCATGTACCTTTGAATTTTAGAATAATGCTAAATATTTGACAGGTCTTGTTACTTGAATATTTATTAACATGTTTTTCTTTATCTAAGTTTTAAAATACTTGGGGGTTGAATGACTTCTAAGATCCTGTCTAGCTCTTGCTCTGTCTTGGATTACTGCTCCCCTTCACGGTCAAACTCCTAGGAAAAACTGGTTTTTCTTTGTCCCTAGTTCTGCTTTTATCACTATTCAAGCCCTTGTGATCTGACCTCCAAACTCATCACTCCATCGCAATTATTCTCTCCAAAGTTATCAATGCTAATTGACTTTTCTCAGTCTTTATCCTTCTTGACCTTTCTACATGGTAATGCTGACCTTTTTCCTTGGATTCATGTCTGCCTTCCCCTCAACATTGCTCTCGCTCTCGCTCTCTCTTTTTCTCTTTCTCTCTCTCTCTCAGATATCCTCCTGCCTGTCTGTTCCATCTGTCTCCTTTGTTGTTTCATCACTCATAGGCAATCCTTTAACAGTGGGTGTACCTAGTAGCTCTGTTTTGAGCCCCTTTCCCTCTCTATTCGTGGTGACCTCTACAATTCAGTTATCTTTATGCAAATGTCTTTTCTGAACTCTAGATAGCTATTTTCCCTCAGGGCTTGGCCTTTTTGTTTTGAAAAAGCCAAGGTTCGTTACTATTCTCTGTAGGAAAATTGCCTTCCTATTACCACCCCCACCCCCCTTGGAGATTTGCACTGACCTTCTCTGAGAGTGGAACTATGTTCTCTTCAACTAGTTTTGATAATTGATTCATACTTTGTCCAGGGTATCAAGAAGTGGACCACTGAAATAGAAGATCCAGGTTTCTTAATGTATGCTTTTCCTACTCTTCCTGAGTATCATAATTCTTATCCCCTAGAACTCAGCCATCCTCTTTTTAATGGTGAAGTTTTGTCCTTTTGGGGGGGTCATATCGAGACTGAAGAAATTTTACAGATTGAGAAGATATTACCAAGACATATGACTAGAACCAGAAATTTTATGAGGAATATCCTTTAATGATTTTTATTAGCTTTAAGATTTAAATTCTGCTTGAGAACAACTTTTGAACTTTTAACATAGTGCAGCTGAGGTGCCTCTGTTGAATTGTGTTGGATATTGAATGTGACTTGGAATTATCAACTTTCATTTGTCTTTAATTGATAAGACTATGATTAAATGAAGCCAAGTTCACAGGTTTGAACTCTATAAAGAACTGGCAGCTTTTGAGCAGAAAATGTGTTCTACCATATAGACTACATCCTTAATGTTGGTTAGCACAAAAGGCAACACGCAAGGGGATATAACTACCTCAACACAGTTTTTTAAAAATTAAATTTTATCTTTGTAAAGATTCACCTTCTCTCCCATCCATACTCTACCACCCTCCACTCTGTTACCAAGAAAGCAAAAAACAAAAACCAAAACCTTGTCATTAAGTTGTTTAATCAAGCAAAACAAATTCTTCCGTTGGCCATGTGTCCGTCCGTCCATCCCCCTCCCCCCCAAAAAAAGGGTCTTAATCTACACTATAAGTCCATCACCTGTGTGCTGAGAAGGTGGGTACCATGTTTTTCATTGTAAGTACTCTGGAGTTGTGGGTGGTCACTATGCTTGTCAGAGTTCCTAAGTATTTTAAAGTAGTTTGTCATTACAGTATTGCTGATATTGTATGAAATGTTCTCCTGGTTCTGTTTACCTCATTCTCTCTCAGTTCATACAAGTCTTCCCAGTTTTCTGATGCCATCCCCTTTTATAGCACAATGGTGTTCGATCATATTCATATGCCTTAACTTGTTCAACCATTCCCCAGTTGATGGGCACCCTATCATTTTCCAAATCTTTGCGACCTGAGAAAGAGCAGCTATCATTATTTTAGCACATATGGGCCCTTTTCCTCTTTTCTTTGGTCTCTTTGGGTATAGACCTAGTAATTAACACAAACTCTTTTGGTATTGGGGGGGGGGGATGTCCAGTCATGAAGTTTTCTTTCAGTTGAACCATAAAAGAGAAAATGTATAATCCCTATCTCAAAAAAGAAAGGATTTGTTTTTAGAGTTCTTTTATGTTAAAGAAAAGCAATTCACAAATACCTGGAAGAAAATAAAATTGGTAAGGCCTAACAGAGGCAAATTTGGCAACTTTTTTGATAATTTGAGATTTAAGGATTTAGGGAAAAGTAACCCAAACTGTACTTATAAATATACTACTATGAGATAGTTGTCCATCATGGTAGACTGTTGGCTCCCTAACTAGGTCAGCCCAATGTACTGTTATGGTCAAAAAAGATATATTGCTAGAAATAACGTTGCAAACAATTTTTTTTCTTTTTCAAAACTTTGATGTATCTACAATCCTTTCTGTGGTTTTAATTAGTGCAATTTAAGAATGATGTGATGGGGGGCAGCTAGGTGGTACAGTGTATAGAGTACCAGCCCTGGATTCAGGAGGACCTGAGTTCAAATCCAGCCTCAGACACATAACACTAACTAGCTGTGTGACCCTGGGCAAGTCACTTAACTCCATTGCCTAACCCAGAAAAAAAGAGAGAGAGAGAGAATGATGTGATGGAACTGGGGAAGATAAAGCAGCAGGCAACCAAAATGATAAAGAGAACAGAGCATTTTCTATGTGAAAGTCTTATCAAAAGAAAAGGCTAGGACTTTTCAACCTGGAAAGAAAGAAGGATGAGGGTTGAGGTAGGAGAGATTGGTTGAAAAGAGTCAGAATATTGTCAAACTTTATATTATCACAAAATGTCCTAGGTATAGTAAACATGGTCTTGTTTCCCATCCTGCTGAGACTAAGACTTACAGGATCATAGTTTTTTGTTTTGGGGGGTTTTGGGGGTTTTTTTTGCTTTTTTTGAAGGGGGGTTGAGGCAATCAGGGTTAAGTGACTTGTCCAGGGTCACACGGTTAGTAAGAGGATCACAGATTTAAAGCTAAGAAGACACCTTAGAGGCCATCAAGTCTAAGTCTAACACTTTCATTTTTACAAATGAGGAAACTGAGGCACAAAGAGGTTATATAATTTGGGCATCCCTTGAGGTTTGAAAAAATTACTTTGTAGATAAATAAAAGCTGCATTAATGAAACTCTTTATTTTAGATGATTAAAATAAGGCCAAAAGTGAATTGATAAATTAGTATAACTAATGTATCTTACTGGGTCATACCAATGATTTATTTTTCCATTTTAGTTCCTGACAATGACTCGGTGTGTTTGTGTGCATACACTCACACACATGAGCATGGTTTAACAGCTGTAATGTTGACTTCCCAAGTGAGGTCTGGTAGGAATGTTTGAGGTACATCCCCAATATTTTGAAGGTCATAGTATAATTTGATTTTGCTAATATGAATATATAAGTAACTCTGTAACTGCATTGTAATCTTTATAAAATTATACATTAATATCTTATTTACCTGGTTATTTGAGGAATGAGGTGGTCATCTATATGAGTATTCTGAACCCTAAAAATGCCAAAACTTTTAAAGCAGTTTTTGGTGGAAATGTGCATAGTAATTATATACTTTTCTTTTTAAGCATATTGATTATAAATTTTTTATAACTGAAACTCATCATTATAAATATCAGTTATACTATGTTGCTGTGAAATGTATTATTTGCTGTTACACTAAATGGCTCCAGAGTGATACTGTTTTTTGGTTTTTGTGTCTGTTTTTGATAGTTTTTCTATCTTTCCTCAAGGTCAGGCTGTCAACATATGTTTTTGCTATTATCACTGTGTCTCCCTCCAAGTAGCACTTGTCCATACCACTCTGACTTTATAATCGGTTGTGGCCTAACAAACAATTATATAATCTATTTTGTTAAAGGACTTAAAGGATTGTCTGTGAGTGAAAGGTACATGGACTTTTTGCCCTCTTCTTGGCCACTCAGAAACACTTTTGCTTTGTGAATCTTAGTTACAGAGTTTGAGAGTTAAGACACATCGGTGGCCATCTAATCAAATCTGTATAATTATTATATTTCTAATAGTTTGGAGTTGTTGACTAAGTATAGTACTGTTAAATAAAGAACTTAAATATTGGTGGTTCCACCCCTGAATGATATAGAGAGCTTGTTATTTGGAAGTACACTGGAATTTTAGATCCACTCTGAAATGTTATATATGGTTTAATGAAAGTGCTGTTGCTTTAAGAAATCCTACTATATTTTCTAAATCATATTTTGTTACTATTTTATAGTAATTGTTATTTATTATGCAGGAAGATGAGAAATTTTTGTCTGAAGTTTTTGCACAGTTAACAGATGAAGCTACAGATGATGATAAACGGCGTGAATTGGTAAGTTATTGATTCTTGAAATTCAGAATAGCTGAAATCAAGAGCCATTATTCTTTTGGTGTTGATCTTTTTTTGTTTTTTAAACTCTAAAAAATAATTTTCCGGAGGGAAAATATACTCTGTTCTATTTCATATTATCATAAAGAGATTGAAGGTATGATTTTCTTGTTTTGTTTTGTTTTGTTTTTGAAGGTATGGGTTTTGATCAAACCTATGTAAAAGCAGTTTTTCTCATAGTTTGATGTTAATTTTTAAAATTTTATGCCTGGGCATAAAGGTTTGGGTTTTTATTTTCTAAAGCTATATTAGAGAGAAGGGGAGATTTACAGAAGGGAAATTATCATGACTTGGGTTGATTTGGACAAAGATAACTGAAAATAGAAGAAAGAACAACTTAAGCCTTATTTTAGTTGTTTCCTCTGCTAAGGAAAATCATCTTTGGCCTGGAAAAGAAAGAACAAAAATGGCTAATAGAAAATTGAAACTCAAGATACATAGGGAGAAAGTAAGGAAGCACCTAATTGCACTTAATGGCTTAGTTACCAGGCCCAGATGAACTACATACCAGATTACTGAGAGAACTGTGAAAAAGGAGAGATGAAAGCAAAGCAAAGTAGGCTTAGGTGTTGGTGGAATTAGTCAGATGGCCAGACCCAAAAAAATTGTTAATTGTTCCAGGTCAACGTGGTAGGTCTCTTGTGGAGTAGCCCAGGGATCTGTGCCTCCCCTTGTGCTGTTTAACATTTTTATCAACAGTTTGAGTAAAGGTATAGGTGGCATACTTATCAAATATGCAAATGCAGTAGATGACAGAATCAAGATTTAAGAAGACATTGAGAAGTTGAAGAGGCCACAAGACATTGAATCTAAGAAGATAGATTTTAATTGAGATAAATATAAAGCCTTATATTTGTTTTTAAAAAATTAAACTTCTCAAGAGGTGAATGTTGCATTGTTTTATAATTCATCTGAAAAAAAATCTTGGAGTTTTAGAGAACCGCAAATTCAGTATGAATCAACAGTGATTCTAAGGCTTCATTAGGAGATGTGTAGTGTCCAGAACTAGGAAGGTGATAATCCTGATGTGCTCTGCACTGGTCAGACCACGTCTGGAGTCTTAAATTTAGGTCTGGGTACAACATTTTTGGAAGGACATTGATATGCTGGACAGCATCCACTGTCCTTAAGAGCTTCAAGATCATGCTCTCTGGGGATTGATTAAGGAAACTGGGAAATTTGAACCTGAATAGGATGGTTCCGGTTATACGTGATAGCTATCTTCAGAAATTAAAGAGTTGTTACGGAAGAGGTGATTAGCCTTGTTCTATTTGGCTCCAAAAATCAGAGATAAAACTAGATAAAAGTTGTAGAGAGCATATATAAGGAAGTTGTAGAATCAGCCTGATTTAAGGAAGAACTTTCTAACCCTAAGAATCATCCAAAAATAGAATTGATTGCCTGAGGAGGTAGTAATTTACTTCCCCTCTTTAGAGATCTTTTAGGAAAAGCTAGATTACCACTTTTAAAGAGTGAATTCTTGTTTATGAATGAGCTGCTCTAGATCGTTTCTGAGGTTCCTTCACGCTCTGATTCTCTGTGTTATACAGATGTAGCTAAATGTAGAAATGCCTTTATTATTGGAAATATAGAATTTTTCGTAGCTGCAGTTTGAATATATCATGAATAACAAAGCTAAAAATAATTTAGTAAAACTAGTTCCTCATCAGTAAAATGAGGGAATTGGAGTAGATAATTGTTAAAGTCCTTCAAGTTCCAAAATGTGATTTTAGAAGTCTTAACTATACATGCACTCATCTGACTAAATTGTTTTGATTTTACATTTTTTTATGGTTGAAGATGGGGTTTAGGGTGGAGGGAGTTAGGGAAGATAACAAATATATTATTTGACTCACCTGGCATTGATGGTTTCATTTTCATGTGTTTCTTTAAGATGCTTCAGAGGGGGTTTATTATCTCAAGGACTCTTTCACAAAAGTCCTTCTTTGATGCTTCATCCTGTTATGGAAGTGATCCTTTATTCTTGAAGACTGTGGCAGTAGATCACAAGCCAGTGTACTATATGAGGAAATGGCATTGGCATTAAAAAGATAAAGTTAGGAAGAGTGCCTTGACCTGAACAAAAAAATTACAGAAGAAATACTTGCAGGAGGTGACATAATTTAAAGGCATTCAATCATTTTTCAAGATAGCTCAAAGAGGGAAGATTATGAAAGAACACAAAAGATCACAGACAGTGGTTTATGTCCCTGCCCTTGCAAGACAACCAAAAAGGTATCACCAACTACTGACTCGTATACCTAGTTTCTCACCTCTATAATCTTTATGAAAATGTCTGTACATATGTTGTTGAAGTATCCTTGATTTAAAAAAAAAACAACACCAGAAGGAATAGGAATGCTTTCACAACTATTTTTCTGAAGCACACCACACCTTTATGATCATATAATTGAGATCAGCCAAAAATATAAACCCAGTAGTGTCTATTTTTGCAATATTTTAGTTGGTAGGATAAAATGTAGCTTTGCAGGTTCTTCTCAAAAAAAGTTTCTCATACATATATTAAACTTCATATAAAGACTATGACAGACCTAAGTATGGAAATAACTTTGTTCAAAAGTAGGCTGAGATTAGTGTCAAGTGAATCATAAAACAAACATGTTTACCTAAGATGTTTTGCAATGTTATGTAAAATGACCTACATAGAATTCAAGTAAAAGAGCCCTCAGTTGATAAAGTGTTCCAGGTTCTCCTTTTTGGTGATGATAGAATAGAATACTACAAAAAAATAGAATACTACAAAACCCTGCTTAACAAAATCTGCAGCAATACAAAAAAGATTGATCCAACCATTCATACTGCAAAAATCAAAGCACAAAATGTTTTATTTGCCAAGAGAATTACAGAATCTGAATTGGAAAGTAGTTCGGAGACAATCTATACAGTCAGTACCTAAGTAAGAGTCTCTTCTTCCGTAGGTTGATAATTATTCATCTAAATTTGCTTAAGTGCAGCCTATCAATTTTTAATAGCTCTAATTGTTAAATAGTTTTTCCTTATGTCGACGCTAAATTTGCTTGTTGGGGACTTATAATCGTCCCTAGTTCTGCCACCTGTTGCCCACAGAACAAGTTTAAAACTCCTCTTCCATACAGTAGCCCCTCAGCTTCTTGAAAATACTATCATGTCCCCTCTAGGACATCTTTTCGTTATCAAACACCTCCATTTCCTTCATCCAGTCCTCATATGACATGATCTTGAAACCCTTGTGCATTCTGATTGCCTGTCTCTAAATGCTTACCAGTCTCCTTGAACAAAAGGACACAGAAATACTCCAGATGTGGCTGGACCACGGCAGAATATGATTTATCTATCATTTCCCTATTCTTGGATACTGTGCTTCTCTTAATGCAGCCTAAATTCAAATTTACTTCCCCCCTGCCCCCACAAAGTGTCTTATGCCATTCTTATGGAAATAGATATGAACTAGGCAATACTAGAGTTAAGTGGATTTGGAACTAGTAGAATGGCCATACTCAAAAGGTAGTCATTAATGGTTCCATGCCAACTTGAGAGGTTTCCTCCAGAGTACCCTCAAGGATCACCACTTGGCCCTGTGCTATTTAAGATGAAGTTTAACAAAGATAAATGAAAAGTATCATATGAATGAAAAAAACTGAATATATGAACAAGGGCAAGTATAGGTAGAAGTTCATCCAACTGCAGGGGCAGGGTATAGTAGACTGCAAGCTCTGCAAGCTCGGTATGAATCAACAGTATCATAAAGGATTTCCTTTAGTCCTGGCTATTATCCTCTTAATGACTGTTCTTTGGGTTTGAACATTCTAGTGATTCCAAATCTACCTAACTCTGATATTACCTAGTTCATTTCTAGTGATAATGATGATAATAGTAATAATAATAATAACAACTAGCATTTATATAGCACTTACTTTGTGCTACGGGCTTTACAATTATCTCATTTGATCCTTATGGCAACCATTAGGGGCAGGTCCTGTTATTATCTCTATTTTACAGATAAGGAAAATAAGGCAAAAAGGTTAAATGACTTGCTAACTACTTGGTATCAGGCTGACTTGAACTCAGGTCTTCCTGACTATACCTACTCTTTATCCTTTGTGCCATCTAGTTTTCCATGACTCCCTTTCCATCAAAATAACATAAAAAACTTTCACCAGCTTTGCTAATATCTGGGTAAAACTGATATAATATTTTCCCCATCTACTAGTATAATAACTATCAAAAAAGGAAATGAGTTTGGTCTGGCACAGTCTGTTGTTGAAGAAGTTTTGCTAACTTTATGATCACTGCTTTCTCTTCTGAATGGTTCAATAACCATTCCTTTAAAGATACGTTCTAGAATTCTGCTAGGAATCCAAAGTAAGCTCACTGCGCTATCAAACTTAATTCCATTTTTAAAAAGTGATATTTAGCCTCCTCTAGTTTTTTATTACCTTTCCTGTTCTCCAGGCGTCTATCATAGATCACTGACAACAACTGAAAAATTGTGTCAATCCTCAAGCAGGTATTAAGTGCCGGACACTAAGGGTATAACTCCAGCAATTGGCTTTGTACCCTGGGATTTAATTCATTTGTGTTTGGTGATTTTAATTCATCAAGTGTAATTAGGTACTTTCTTATCTATCTCCCTGTTTATCTTGGGTTTCAACTCCCTGTTAGCCATTTTTGTTTTGTCCTGAATAGTCCATAGATTATTTTCCTGAGCACAGAAAACAAATAAAAGTTTTGCAGTTCTGCCTTTTCTTGATTTTATTTAACCTTTTCTAAACCACCCCAAGCAGTAGTTCTTTACCTTTTATTTTCTTAAAGACAACTGGAAAAAATCATTTTGTTTACTTTAGCATTCCTGGTCAGCCCCAGTTTATTCCAAGCTTTCATATTCCTGATGTTATTTGTATTTTTTGGTGCCATGCTTTTGGATTCCAATTCCATTATCTGCA